GTGATATTTATCTTTCTCTGACTGGCTTATTTCACTTAGCATAATGCTCTTTTTCTTTTTTACAGTAAGTTAATTGCTTCTAAAAGGTTGTATTTCTGGGGCTCTGGGTAGAGAAGGGAGGGAGTGGTGGCGTGGTGCTACGGAGGTCTCTTTACCAGACATTTCCCCCCGCCCTCCCCCCCGCCTTGTCCCAGCCCTGAGTGCACACCAGAAGGGGGAGGGAATGTTCTGGGCTGGAACATACCCCGGACGGAGGACACAGACTGGAGGAAGCGAGAAATGTCACCAAGGACCCAGGGCCCAGGGCCTTTTCTTCCCGTTCCCCAGCAGGGCCGGTCCCGCTGGACACTCCCTCCTTAGCGCCCACTCAGACCCCGGCAGTCCCAGGGCTTACAGCCTGACCCCTTGCCCTGGACCAGCGGTTCTCAACCTTCCCAATGCCGCGACCCTTTAATACAGTTCCTCATGTTGTGGTGACCCCCAATTTCATTGTTACAAATGGAACATAAAGCATAGTGATTAATCACAAAACAATATGTAATTATCTATGTGTTTTCCGATGGTCTTAGGCGACCCCTGTGAAAGGGTCGTTTGACCCCCAAAGGGGTCGCGACCCACAGGTTGAGAACCGCTGCCCTGGACGCTTGCATGTTCCCTCTCCGGATGGCTGCTTCAGCCTCCACTTTGGGGAAGGCTCACTCCTACTTCCCTGGGGCGCCCTCCTCAGCTCTATGGCCGAGTTTGTGCCCCTCCTGGGACCTTTGGAGACGACAAACTTTTTTTTTTAAATATATTTTATTGATTTTTTACAGAGAGTAAGGGAGAGGGATAGAGAGTTAGAAACATCGATGAGAGAGAAACATCGATCAGCTGCCTCCTGCACACCCCCTACTGGGGATATGCCCACAACCAAGGTACATGCCCTTGACGAATCGAACCTGGAACCCTTCAGTCGTCCGCAGGCCGCTCTGTCCACTGAGCCAAACCAGTTAGGGCGAGACGACAAACTTTTGAGTGGATAAGAATCAAGAGGAGCCGGTCCAGCAGCAAATCTTTCCTCACCTCCAGGCCTGCCCCAGCTCGTGGGGATGGAGTTGCTGTTGCCCCAAGGCCGTTGCTCTCACAGGGTGAGTGAGGGTCAGAAACTCACCTTAGTGCAGGGAGGTGAAGTCCGTGATGCCAGGAACAGCCCTGACCAGCCGCACCCACCGCCATCCACGTCTGCTCAGCAAATAAGGGAAGAGGCTCCCTGCAGGCCTCGGTGCAGCAGATGCCGAAGGCTGCCCAGAGCTGCTCCCTTGCCCCTCCCTGGCCTGGCTGGGCAGGAGGAACCCAGTTCACTTCTCAGGCCCTGGAATGCCAGCAGAGCCCACAGCTGCAGCTGCCTCCTGGAGCCTCTTTGTTCAGTTTGCTGTTGTGGTTTCTCCCTCACTTGGGGGTGGGGGTGAACAGGAAATGAAATGTTGCCATGCTCCTAATCCTTCCCCATTGCCCCCCAAGCCTTCAAGCTGCTGATGGCAAGGACCGGCAGCTTCCAGCCCTGCTCAGAAGCAAGTTCACATTCTCTTCTGGGCAAGGAGGGGCGGCAGATGCTCCTTCCTCAGGCTCCCTTGCTCACTGACCCATTTCGAGGGCATCTGGGGGTCAAAACACTAGATTGCTTCAATTGGTGTATAACTAGCATTCCTTATCACACCAAAGACCGAGATTTCTTGCATCAAGGAAGAGGTGGGCCTCACCCCAACCTGCACCTCTTCTCTGGCCCTCAAACCAGTGATGATAAAGGTTTGGAGAGACGGGGGACTAGAAGGGGAACAAGCAATTTGCTCCATGGAGAAATCAGTAGCTTCAGCTGGTCATACCACTGATATTTACTTAGCATGTACTATGTGCAAAAATGGCCTCTGCCTCAGTTTGTCACGGCTGTGAAAAAAGATTCTTGCCAGTGTGAGGCTTCAATGAGTGTGGACAAATATATAAATAAACAAATGGGTGGCAAAAAATAAAAATAAAAGGTTGTATTTCTGCACTATTCTTTCTGTGACAGAAAATCAGAATTGGAAGGAACTCTGAAAATGTTTCAAACTCTGTCTCAATAAAGGAGCCCTCCTCTACAATATCCTATATAATAAACATGTAATATGCAAATGGTCATTACATAAGGATTGACCGTGTAAGGACCAGATCATGGATCAGCAGGAGGCTGGGGCAGCAAGCTATAAGAGGGGGGCAGAGAGCGACAGGAGGGGGCAGGGCAGCAAGCTATGAGGGGGGGGAACTACAGGAGGGCGGGGCATCGGGCAGAGAGCTACAAGAGGGCAGCAGCGAGCTACTGGCGCACGGATTTGTGCGCAGGGCTACAAGTATTAGTAGAAAGATTAAAGTGGGTGAGGGGGGAGAATACGCATTTATAAGCAGAAGTCCAACATCTAACGTCTTCAAGAGTTAGGCAGCCAAAAATGAGCAGCAGGCATGATACATCAAGAAGTAGTGGGGACTGTGGTTGACCTGGAGAGTATCTGTCCCTCAGAAAATCATTTATATTCAAATTCCTTTAAAAGATTGCTAACCAATCAAGACACATTTGAAGATTTTGCTCACGTGACCAAATTGTCCTCGTCTCACAAATAAATGTAAGGCTTGTTTTTACATCACGTGAATGATAAAGTCTTTTCGGATGTCTTCGATTTCCTGAGAAACCAGCACCAAGACCAGCAAGCATTTTGTAAAACTTCCTGGAGTAGGCAAGAAAGGTCTGGTAAAGGACAAACAGAGAAGTGGGGGAGAGACAGGAAAAAAGCCCTCTTCGATCCGAAATCTCCCACAAGAAATAACCTGTTGCCCAGTGCTTCCCAAGGCAATACTTATCTCCTACTATGTCAATGTCAGAATGGATGAGCAGTGCCGAAGGTTATTGGAGAAACTGCGTTCTCCCTAGGAGGTAGAGATCACAACTCTCTTGTCAGTGTTTAATCTCTGCTGACTATGACATCATTCCAATAAGCAGGACATCAACATGGAATGAATTAATTTTTTAAAACTACACTGACCACTACTCCGAGGTGGTGATAAAATGCAAAGCATGTGCCTTAGCATAGAGCAGTGATGGCGAACCTATGACACGAGTGTCAGAGGTGACACGCAAACTCATTTTTTGGGTTGATTTTTCTTTGTTAAATGGGATTTAAACATATAAATTAAATATCAAAAATATAAGTCTTTGTTTTACTATGGTTGCAAAGATCAAAACATTTCTATATGTGACACGGCACCAGAGTTAAGTTAGGGTTTTTCGAAATGCTGACACGCCGAGCTCAAAAGGTTCGCCATCACTGGCCTAGAGTCATTGGAAGAACTGGCAGGAAACAAACGAAGGTATTGGGTAACAGGAACAATCCCCCTTTCCTCTATCAGAGCCCAGGGCTTGGCTTTCCCCCTTGACCAAGGCCATTCTCTTCAGAATTACAGTGCAGGTCTCAGAGTAACAGCTGGTGTGAACTAGTTGTCTTTGCCTGGATCCGGGTTTGGAAAGGCAGTTTAAGGGCCTCATGTGAACAAATTGGCTTGAGGGAACTTGGAATTCCTTCAAGGTG